TCGTCCTTGTTCTATTTTTGTTTAATCCAACAAAATAGTCACTTTTCTTTTTTAATAAATGTCCTCGATTTTTCATTTATAACATATGGTCGAAAAGTTTTCGAACAAAATATTGAAAGCTGCAACATATATACGTCTGGAAAGCAAAATCTGGACATGATATTTAAGGTATATCGTCACTATAAAAACATAATTTTAAAAAAAAGAATAATATCATATTCTGAGAGCGTGTGAAATTTTCTATCATTCTATATATTGGTTTATTGTCGTATAGTTATCTATTATCAAAATAATTTAAGAATAATGAAGCCATCCAAACAGACAATTTCGATCAAAAATTCATATTTTTTCGCTACTTTTATAGATAAGATGATGGAGAATTTGAATTTCTACCAGAAGACATAATTACTTTTGTAAAAAATTCTTAAAAATATATTACACACACGATTTCTGAAATTGTCAGTTGAGATAACTTCATTGTTCTTAAATTATTTTGATAATAGATAAGTAGAAGACAGTAAACAAATATATAGAAAGATAGAAAATTTCAAGCACTTAAAGACTATATTTAGTTTTTTAAAAAGGTAATTCTATAATGATGAAAAACTTATTTTGATGACAGTGAGAAAATCAAGTTTGTGGGAACCTGGACATGAGGGCGTCTTCAATGTACTCAATTTTTTTTGGAAATTCACAAATAAAAATAAAAATATACAGAAGGCTAGAAAATTTCACACGCTCTCACAATATGTTATTATTCTTTTAAAATTATGTCTTTATAGTGACGATATGGGTGTGGGTGTGGGTGGGTGTAGGCGAGGTGTGTGGGTGTGGGTGGGTGTAGGTGGGGTGTGAGGTGTGTGGGTGTGGGGTGTGGGGTGTGGGGTGTGGGGTGTGGGTGTGTTAACGATGACTCACATTCTGCCTACCCTCGATTCTCTATCTCTTTCTCTCTCCCTTCTTCTTTCTACTGTATTGTTATTGTTATTGTTGTTTCTCCTCCTTTCTCTCTTGTTCTTCTTCTCCTCTCTATAGATGTATATATACCTAGTGATTTTAAGGACATTTTGAAGAGATTTAACATATGAAATAAATAAACAAAGTTAAGCTCGTCGAAGCGAGCTAACAGGGTGTTAGTTCGAGAATTCGCTTCACTTCCCCAATCCCAATCCCACACTTACACACCCACACCCACACCCACACCCACCCACACTCACACCCACACCCACACCAACACCCACGCCCACACCCACCCACACCCACACCCGCACCCTTTTATTGATATTGCCCAGGTGATTCAATCCGACCTGTAGACCCTACCGGAAACTATCGGATCCAATGTCGGATCACACCGGAATTCGTCGGGTTCCCAACTAAATCCGATCGGAACCCAACCGTATTTCACAGGATTCCTAACTAACGGATTCCGGACCGGATTACGTCGGAAAGGATCCGATCGGATCCTGTCGGAACTGTTTGTCAGATAATGCCGTAACCACCAGGATCCTTTCACAGAGAAACGCCTGATAGCGTAAGGCTCCGACAGAATACAGTCGGATTTCATCAGAAGTTGGCTGAATCTGTTTCGATTGCACAAGGATTCAATCAACATTTCACACAGATTTCATTCTAGCATTCTCAAAATTTCTAAAGATTTACTAGAGATTTCTGACAATTTCATCCAAATTTCCTCAAGATTTCTAAAGATTTCTCAAGGATTTCGTCGAGATTTCTGAAGATTTCCCAGGGATTTCATCCAGATTTCTGAAGATTTCCCAAGGATTTCATCAAGATTTATAAAGATTTCTCAAGGATTTCGTCGAGATTTCTGAAGATTTCGCAAAGATTTCATCAAGATTTATGAAGGTTTCCCAAGGATTTCATCAAGATTTCTAAATGCTTGTCCCGAATTTCATCCAGATTTCTGAAGATTTCCTAAGGATTTCATCAAGAATTCTAAAGATTTTCCAAAGATTGAATCGACATTTTGAACAGATTTCACCAGGAATGTTATAAAAATTTCTAAAGATTGTATCAGGATGTCATCAAGAGTCTAAAGGATTTCAACTGTTTCAACTGGGATTATTCCTAGAATCTAACAATGTATATACTACGATCCTTCTTAAAATTGAACAATGCTTGTACTAAGATTGTTCCTAATATATAGAACTTAGTTATACAAAATGGCAGAATTCACTTGATATATGAAAGTAGAGAGTTCCTTATATAGATCGATACCTGTAAAACAAAACGGTGAATGAAATCTGGACAAAGTCGGATTTCCAGATTTTTGATTTTGTTGTTGGAATTTTGTAAAAATACGAATATCTAATAAATTAATTAATTAGTTGATTGATCTGTCAGAATATATTCTAATTCATGAATCCGCTGTGTGGAAAACATAATTGTATAAGGAAATAAATCATTTGAAGTAAAATTAATCTGAGCAACACTTTGGAAATTTATTCAAAATATTAAAGTAGAGAGTTCCTTATATAGATCGATATCTGTAAAACAAAACGGTGAATGAAATCTGGACAAAATCGGATTTCCAGATTTTTGATTTTGCTTGTCGAAATTTGTAAAAAGAGGAATATCTAATTAAATGATTAGCTCATTGATCCGTCAGAATATAATCTTATTCAAGAATCCGATTGCGTGGAAAACATAATTGTAATAGGAAAAAAAATCATTTGAAATAAAATTAATCTGAGCAACACTTTGGAAATTCATTCGAAATATTAAAGTAGATAGTTCCTTATATAGATCGATATCTGTAAAACAAAACGGTGAATGAAATCTGGACAAAATTGGATTTCCAGATTTTTGATTTTGTTGTTGGAAATTTGTAGAAAGAGAAATATCTTATTAGATGATTAGCTGATTGATCTGTCGGAATATATTCTAATTCATGAATCCGACTACGTGGAAAATAATACTGGATACCCATAACGAGCAATCCGACAGTCGGATCTCGTCGGATCCTATCGGAAAAATTATCGAATTTTATCGAATCCGATGGCAATTCGTCGGAATCCTTGGTATCGGATTCCGACAGGAAGTTGTCGGATGTCGGAAAGTGTCGGAAGTGGCCGGAATCTTGTCGGAACTCTGAAAATCCGACACTTTCCAACATCCGACAACTTCCGACTAATTTCCATCGGATCCGATGGTGTGAGATCGGCTTGGGTATTGTGCATTCTTATATAATCCGACAAGTTCCGATACCAGTGATTGATCGGTTTTATCATGGAATCCGGTGTCATTTGAAACCGCAAAATCCGGCGATTTCTTGACATAAGATTCCCCGGAATTCCATCGGAAGCGAACAGATCTTGAGATCGGATCTGACCAGTTCCGAATATATGAATCTAGTCGGAGCTCGATGAATCCGACTGGCGGATATCAAAGGAAATCAGTGGATAGCATCGGAATCCGACAAAAAGTAACTGACCGAATCCGATTAGCCGTATCTCAACGGATTTGAAACCTATCCGACAGGATCCGACATAGCTATTTCGACCTGGGTGTTCGAAAAAAAATCATTTCTTTTTAATTTTAGAACGAAAAAAGCTTCAATCGAAGTAAACATTATAATGAATTTTGTGTTGCTCATTCAGTAAACGAACAAGATAAAAAAATGATTTAATTCTTTTTCTCTACTAATGGTACTGTTCTTCTATCGATCAGCTATATACTGTTTGTGTTATTCGAACCGAACATAAGCAAAATGAATGTAATCCTTTATTTTTCTTAACGCTATGTTCATATCTCTGCTTTCTTATTCAAAGATCTACATTCGAAAATAATTTTTGGATGACAACCAATGGAAAAGCTTTATAGCGGAGATGCATAAAGATGAATCCCTTTTTTTTCTTTCGTAACGATACATAAATCGTTAACTTTTAAAATATGGAAGATCTTCGAACTTTTCAACTTCACTCTCAGAGAAAAAAGAATTAAATTTAAGAGATCAGATATGGTTTGAGTTGGTGTTCGATTTTTAAGTACATTTTGCACTTATTTTTTTAGTCTCTTCGTTGGTTCACATCTTAAGCGACACGTATTTGAAACTGAATCACGATTGATAATATTCTTTTGTTATAAAAGCAGATAATATTATTATATCAAAGTTCACTTTAGAATTCCAAAGATGTGAAGGTAATCTAGAAGTGATGTTCTTCTTGTAATTGCTTACAAATATGCACTGTTGATTGAAGACCTGTTGTTTAAGTTATTGATGAATATTGCTAATAAAGAAAAACATTATCATTCATACCTAATTTTATTCGTACTTGACATGGAACTAATATTTTTCAATTATCACTACGAGATTTAGATAAAGATCGGAAAATACATTCTCATCGGGCTTCCTCACGATAAATAATTCGGAGAAAAATGATAACAATAAACAACGTGAATAATGATGTATCAAATGGAATAGGATATTGAAACCAAAGATATGATTAAATGCACGTAGAAGAAGATACACATTGGTAGAAAGAGCATGGAAACGAAGAAAAGACTAACATCTATATCCACAAATATACTCTTGACAAAATGTTTATTATAGTCATTGAAAGTCAGAATAGCAAACTCTTAATTTTAAATTTTATATTCAATTTGAACTATCTTAAAATTCAATCGTTTCTTTTCTTCCATTGAAGAAAAATATGAATTGAAGTTGAAACTTAGCAACTCTACTGAAAATTATCACTTTTTCTTATCAACTTATAGAAAAATTGTCTGATGTTTATAACCATGTTAGTCTCATCTATCCAAGAATGAAATAAAATATAAAATAATTTTTAAATAATCGTAGTTTGCTTGTTGCCTATAATCAGATTTTCTTATAGGTTTTCCTTAAGTGCATCTTTATTAGTTATTGTTCATTATTGAATGATGTGAACTATTGCACATTGTATAGAAATGATGTTGGCGTATACAATTTCTATAAACTGAATTTCTCTATGCATATGTGTCTTTTTTTCTTGTTTACAATCATCCATCTTGTGCTGCTTACCTTGCATGTTTTACTGTTGCTATGTGCGGTCCCTCAAAAAAAAGTGTGTAGATGAAAAGAACTCAAAATAAAAAGCAAAAAAAGGAGACCGAAATGTTGCCATGATGAAAAAATACGAACAAAAAATGACTTGACAAACAACGTACTCGTCTGACTTGCACAACACTCGAGCAAGTCGAAAGAAACCATCAGTACAATTCACTTGGTATGGTTGATTTTCATTATTTGACTTTAATGAACACTTTATTAAAGGAATTTCTAAGACTAAAGAGAGTATTTCAAACGTCATAAACAGACCCATGTCAATCACGCTCGGCCGTAAACGGCCGTTCACTAACCAAATACGGCGAATAACGGCGACTATTTACGGTAGCTGTTTATGGCGGCAGTAAACAATGCTTTACAGTATATTACGTCAATCGTGCACACTCATCGTACAAGTCCACCGTAAACTGCTACTGTGACAATACGGCGACTGTATACTTTGGTCGAAAAACAACGTAAGGCATCGTCTACATCAACCGTTTCCCATCGCCATTTACAACGGTCGTACCTAATGCATTACGGCGCACTACAGCCACCGTAAACATCGCCCGTAAACTGTCGCTGGTTACGACCCGCGTGGCAACGCGACAGCTGTATATGCCAGTACTATAAAACCTTGTAAGACCCCCCTGTTAAAGGACTAATCAAAGCCCGCCCTGCTGTATCTCCATGAAGGGATAGGAGGGGACCCATACTTATACCCATCAATTGATACCGTATCGCAAAGAATCTTAGGATCTCCCCGGACATGACTACCCCACGGGCGCCCAAAAGGGGGAAAAAGGCCTCCTCACATCTGATTGGTCTATTTTAACCCACAAATAAGAGCCTCGCTTTCTATATCTCCATCAAGGAATAGGAGTGGACCCACACATATACCCATCAATCGATAGCGCCTACCCAAGAACCCTACGCTCGGCCCGAACATAACCACCACATGTGTGTACCATAAGGGAGAAAAGGGTGTGGGGTGTGGATGTGAGTGGGTGTGGGTGTGTATCATTTTGGGGGTGGGTGCGGGGTGTGGCTGTGGCTGTGGGTGGGGGTGGCTGTTGGTGTGGGTGTGGGTGTGGGGTGTGAAGTGTGGGTGCGGGTGGAGGTGTGGGTGTGGGTGTGAGTGTGAGTGTGTGGGTGTAGGTGCGTGTGGGTGTGGGTGTGGGTGGAGGTGTGGGTGTGGGTGCGAGTGTAGGTGTGGGAGTGGGTGTGGGGTGTGTGGTGTGGGTGGGTGTGGGTGTGGAGTGTGGGTGTGGGTGCGGGTTGGGTGTGGGTGTCGGTGTCGATGTGTGGGTGTGGGTGATTAAAGGAGAATAACCCACACCCACACCCATCCCACACCCACCCACACCCACACCCACATCTCCACCCACACCCACACCCACACCCACACCCCACACCCACACCCACCCACACCCACACCCGCACTCACACCCCACCCACACCCACACCCACCCACGCCCCACACCCACCATGAGTATTCTATTGATCGAAGCGAAGGATCTGCAGTACTGAAATTTTGAATGGAGATACCTTCCTCTAAACCCTAACTTTACTGAAAATTTCAGAATTCGATCTTATTTCAATCATGAGTTATGAGGGACGAAAGTTGTCTAAAATATGAATTATTTCCAATATCGGATGAATCATAAATAATGAAAGGGTGTGGGTTTGGGTGGGTGTTGGGTGGGTGTGCGTGGATGTGGGTGTAGGTATAGGTGTGGGTGGGTGTGGGTGTGGGTGTGGGTGTGGGTGGGTGTGGGGTGGGTGTGCGTGTAGGTGTGGGTGGGTGGGTGTGGGTGTGGGTTATTCTCCTTAATCACCCACACCCACACATCGACACCGACACCCCACACACCCGCACCCACACCCACACCCACCCACACCCCACACCCACCCCACACCCACACCCCACCCACACCCACACCCCACCCACACCCCACCCACACCCACACACCCTTTATAGTTGTAATTTGAAAATTCTATTTTCAGTACAATTCAGTGATTTATATCTCCACAAAATATTTCAGCTCAATCGGTCCAGTCATTTTGTGAGATATTGAGTGCACAAGTCTCTTACTTTTGGGTATGCATTTTTAGGGTTCTCGAAAAAAAAAATATAAAATATTGAAAGCTCTATATTTTTGAAGATGGCTTGCGCGAAAATTCCTAAAACTCTTTCCTTGGCTATATATTGTGAATGGAGTAATGTCTCACAATCTCAATTAAGCAAGTTCACTTGTAGGTTAGGTAAAATGGCTGTGATGGGAAGTATTTTATTGTACTGGATACATTCTAAAATGACCGCTAGTCTCTCCATATGAATGACTTTTAAAGTTTTGATTAGCCCGTCTGATGCATTTTTTAACGCTGAAAAATAAATCCAAGTTAAAGTCCTCCTTGAAAGATAACTTAGAGTCGTCATGGGCACGTAAAATATAGAAAAATGTTGTAAAGAACGATGATTAATGCGGCAGTAGAACATCGTGTGTAGCTCAGATGAAGGTTACTTGCTACTTTGATTTCAATCACTTTATGCTCATTGGATAGCTCTTTCTTTGCTCTATCCAAATCCGTAAAGAAACCTCTGGGTCCGTTAGAATTAACAGAGAAATACAGTTTGCAATGAAAAAGAGAACAAACAAAAATGCAAAAAAAGCAGTAGGGTCGATCTAATTTTGAGGATGGTGTACCTACAGAATGGAAGGTGAGGACAAAGTGACATATGCGGTTTTGTAGAGCGAAATTTGCTCTATCAAATGGTATATTACTCGAAAAGATTATGATAATGTACTGTGGGGAAAATAACCAAATACTCACTTACCAAAAAATTTTGCAAGAAAAAGAAAAACTTTTTTTCGAAACCTCTTGAGGGTGCCTACAGTATGTATTTCATACCTTTTTAGAGGTAAACTAGAATGAGCTAAAATTTTGGATTTATAGGTTTCTCACTTTGCTCTTTCATTTCCAATCATAAAATATACGGATCAACATTTTCGAGAGTATGACCCTATTGAAAAATGTTCGATTTTCTCGTGGACCGTCTCTTAAAAATCTCAAAAAAGAACTTGTCAGTGCGGTCCTTTCGGCGTTGAAATGTGAAACCCACAATCTGTGACTGTTGTGCACTTAACATCCTTGTCATGTTAAAGGTCTGTTGCTGATTTATTTGACAATCAGCATTTCTCAGGGGTATTGAAATTATGGTATTTTCTTGTCCATATGAAAAGCTATTGGAAACTGCGAAGAGTATGTAATCAAAACGAAGCAAAAAAAGGCAGGATTGGATGTATGAAAGCCCAACATTGATGTAAGAAAAAAATAAGTGTAACAGTGGTACAACGGAAAATTTATTATGTTTTGTAATTACCTTGCCAATAAATGAACCATGCTGACTGATTAGAATCGGTTAAAAATACAACAGTCTGTTTTCCTTCTTTGTTGATGTTAATACACCTTGTATTTTTCATGAGGACGGAGGAATATTTTTCTTTCTTTTTCTATCCACTGAGTTCGCTTAGGGGAGACAAATAAATAGTTAATTCATCAAAGTGAAGAATATTTCATTTCATGTGTTCTCTCCTTTCATTAGACACTTAATTTCGCTTATTTGCATTAGTCAATATTTCCAACCAACCATGTGCTTTGTTGACATTTTGCAATGAGTCTTAAGAGAATTTCGCAAAATGTGCAACACAAATTTGACTTATTAGAATAGCGTATGCAAATATAAATTTGACAATGGAGACACTGAAATAGAGAAAAACACATTTTTATGAATTGTTTTTGTCTGATATCATTTTTTAATGTGTTTTCAAATGCTATCAGTCGTCACCGCTTTAGAATATCAGTAAATCAGGTATCTCAGTTCTGAATAATCTTGATATTGTTACGTCGTCACTTTCAGAAAATACCTCAAGTTCATATAATGTTATTTTGGTGACTGAATCTTTTATATACATGTTGACATGCATACTTTTCGCTTGTTTCCTAGGGTTCAGTTTTGTTCATTTCTGTATTATTTCTATTAATTTTCGCTTTGCTTTGAGCAGATCCCTCTTTCAATCGTTCATTCGCTATATGATGAGATCATATTTGTGTTTCACTCAAGATGTGTAGTAATGGATACGTTCTTCATAACCGTTTAATTTCTATTAGAACATCGCTCGAATACTTTTTGGTGACTTATTGTTTTTTTTAGTATAGTCAGGTCAGCACCAATGTAGTTTGTTGATCGCCAATCCAAACAATCGGTTGAAGAGCGGGTGTGGATATGCATGAGAAGAAGACCCATATCCATACCCCACACCCGCACCCACCACACCCACCCACCTACAGCCACCCACACCCACACTCGCACCTACACCCACCAACACCCCACACTCACACCCACACCCACGCACTAAAAATTTGAAAACTGCGGCTAAATAGTATTTTGTTTCAGACTCTAAAGAACACCTTCCAGTTACAATAGTGTGGTTCAAGCAGCATAACATTATATAATACTCAGTTTTACTCATATTGAAAAATAGTACAAAAAACTTACGAATAATAATATGGCATCTCGCACCTTTCAAGACGGAACCTGTTCATCAACATCTAAGAATATTGAAAAGTCTTCTACTATACCGTCACAAGCATTGCAAAGGAAAATATATGTTAACGAAGACACACGGAAAAGATACAGAATGTGTGATGATAACCAGTTATGCCGTTGGTATTTGGAAATGAAAGGGTATAAATTTACAACAGAAAATTTACAACATATGGATGAATATCGTCATGAAAAACAGAAATGTCGTTATGGTCGGGAATGTCGAGCATTCAATCGCTTATTGCAAAACGGATATCGTTTAGATGATATTGGACATTGTTCAATTTATTTTCATCAAGGTAGAAGGGGAGGCACTACTGTTGAGGAAAATTTTGGCTCAAAAAAATTTATCACTGCTTATCAAAATTGGGGAGTTGATTTACCAAAAGGAACCGGTTTCAGGAATGGAATAGTAGAAGATGGACAACTCATTAAAGAACTTGAAAAGAATAACTATGCCCATGTAATGACTCTTACAAGTGGACCATATAAAACCTTGAATGATGTAGCTCGAGAAAAGTTGAGACATCCACGACACCGGAAAATGGGATCACCGCTGTTCCATGATCAAATGTTGGCAGTTCTTTTATATACAGATACTGACGTATACGTAGATTTGCGACAGGACGAAATGAGATACTCCAAACAGGATTTCGCACACATAAATCTATCGCAGATCGAGAAACCCAAATGGCCGGTGCTTGGAAGTCTTTTGGCTTCCGCGATTTGGTTTCTAGATGAAAATGACAATAAGCCTCGTCCACCAACAGTCTATCATGGATTAAATGAAATCAAAATCGATCCATCCGCATTTAACAACTACGGAACAACGAAAGTTTATTCAGAAAATGACGAACCGGTGTTCAAATATGGAACATTCATCAGTACTTCATGGGATGAAGATGTTGCACGAGCGTTTTCCAGGGGCAAAGGCGCCTTACTTGAGATTGATCTGAACACGGATTCAGGAATAGAGCCATTAATAGGAGCTGATGTCTCATGGATATCTAAATTTTCATCGGAATGCGAGTTCTTAATAGCAAGAAGTGCCACATTTGCTATCAAGTCGATTGATATATCCCAAGACGAAGATTATCAAATTGTCAAAGTCAAGGAGGGACCGTTTTCTCACAGTCGTATGAAGTTTCATAATAAATATAGATCTTAGTTGAGAGTCTGTCAGAGCATCAACCAAGCTGTCCACTAACAGAATTTCGTTTTTTTATTTATTTATTCTACTTTAAAGCCAAATCAAGAAATCTCGACATTCTAAGTTTCAGTATTTTGTTTTGCACGTCTATGAATAACGACTAGAACCTAACTGCTTCTAGTAGTCTAACAAAAAAATTCGTTTTCAGTCTTTTTTTTATTTTTCTCATCGCATTTTCAATTTTTATCTGCTGCAGTTCGATTGCTTGAAATCCAAAAGGTGTCAAACAATAGAGAATTTTGGTTCTGTGAATGTCGGTATGCAGATGCATCGTGTGTAAACTTGGATGGTGAGAGAAGCTACATCCAGATTCACTCTTCCACTCTTCGTCCTGAGTTTAGTTTTTGAAACTGAATAAATAATCAACGTTGAATACCTTTAACAAGGAAATACTGTAAGTTATACACATATTTGTTGATTGCATGCTTTTCATTGATAAGCAATATTTCAATTTTGAAAAAGTATTTGTTTTTCTTTCACTCTGACTTTCTATTACAATTTCATCTTTATTTCATAGTTATTCTCAGTATGCACTAACGACTAATACAGACATATAGCGCATTTATTTCAATCTTATAGACTTCGCATAATATACAATTTTTAATAGTTAAATATTATGATATAAATATAAGTTAAGAAAGTGACAAGATATTCATAGGCAATAATGAATAATGTGACGGATTGTGGAAGAACTGATCAGAAACCTCATTTATTTAAGTTTCTTTAGCGGATGCTCCATCGTGTATATGAAAGAAATTTGTCACGGAGACTTTCTCAAGGAAAGCGCACTTGTCCAGTATAATCCAATGCTTACACCCACACACAGTACAATTGCATTCATAAAAATCGGAAAATTACCTTTCCTTCCTCAAAATTTTAATTACAAAATTCTTCTGCATACATGATGAAACACCAGCCACAGGATTACTAATATTTGATGCATCGCAAGCGAATGATATAATCGATTGAGATGAGCTAAGAGATGGAACTCGTGTTGGTGCTATAATCGTTACAGTATCATCATTCTTCGATGTATGATTTCTACTTTTCGAACTACCATCATTAATAGCATCTCAATCCAAATGAGGATTGTTTTGTAACATTTCATTTAAAAAACCATAAGAAAGCATTAATAGTATTTATCGTCAACTTACATGTTGTGTAGCTCGTCAAGCAGTATTAACGTCTTCAGTTTGACCTTATATTTACAAATATTCAGCATCTACTAATGGTAGTGAAGTTGTTGGTATTATAGCAATAATTTTAGCTAGATTTTCAGCAATAAACTCAATATCATGTTCACATGAAACTATCTTTTTTCTTCCAACCCCTCGTCGAGACAATGTAGCTTCAAAACAACAAAGGATGCGGGTGTGGGTGTAGGTGTCCGTGTGGGTGTGGTATGGGTGTGTGGGTGTGAGTGTGGGTGGGTGTGGGGTGTGGGTTTGGGTGTGGGTGGGTGTGGGTGTGTGGGTGTGGGTGTGGGTTATTCTTCTTTAATCACCCACACCCACACACCCACATCGACACCCACACACCCACACCCTTACCCACACCCCACACCCACACCCTTACCCACACCCACACCCTATTCTTTACCTATTAAATAACGTAAAAGGATGTTCGATGAAAAAGTGATAAAGACAATCATACTTAGATTAGCATATTCACAAGCAAAGAGAATACGTTTCATAAAAGCACTCTCCGCATGTACATCCATATTCACACCCACACTTATCCACATAAAGAAACGTATTGTATTGTCGTTAGTTATGTTCTTGAATATTTTTCATACACTATTATCTCTTGTTGATGTACTTATATGTCTCTCAATTTTTTTGCATGCAATAAAAGGTATTCATTTCGCTTGTCGAGAATCTCAAAAGAAAAATCTTTGACTATACGTCTTGGTTCTATTAATATAATTATCTCTCATACTTACTGTTGTTAACATTATTGTTCAAGTTTACTTTCTTGTCAAGCTGTATATGTTCAGTGGTAGTGCGCATAAACATACAATATAGGAGATGATAACTATGAAAAAGATGAATTATAATGAAATATTTTTATCATTTATTATTTTTTCTAACAAACATACGGGGTAATCAATAGATAGAGCTTAGGAAAATCTATTAGACAGAGATATTTTGATTTTGAAAATGTTCCATTATAACTGAAGACAAACAACAAATTTATTATATATAAAATTCATGCTGGAACAGTATATTCTTATCAGAAACCAAGAAAAGCTCTTACTAATAGTTACTTTTTTAATTGAAATTTGATGTAACTATAGAGCTATTGATATATTCATCTACGGAAGAAATACTTCGATCTAGAAAGGATTTTTTCGTTTTGATTGAATTATTTAAATTATTGTTGTGTATTTTTCTTTATAACATTTATTTTATGTCTCATTGTAATACCAAATTTTATCAATAATTTAGATAAACTTTTGTAGCTATTGAAACGTTCTATTTACAATATATAATTGACCGTAATGAAAATGAATTTACATAATGAAATAGCAAAATTAGTAGGGCACATCCTTTATGCAAAAAATACAGAATATTTCCTAGACTGAACGAATAGGATCTAGAAACGGAAATTCACCTAGAATCTGTGTATTTGTAACATAGTTATCATATGGCAACTAAGATATCGATGACCATCTGGTAACTATGGCTACAGTGGTATTAATGACTGTGTGCGAATAACAAAAAAAGGTGCTTACGCATAAGGATTCAAATTAATCAAAGTGTAGTATTCAACGACGAAGATTAGGAAATCCGTTTTATCTAGGATGCTATTAGAAGTGACGATTATTTTTATTAAATTATTAAATGATTCAATTAATTTGGTGTAAGTGTGGATCTATCCGTTCTCTTCAACGGCATCGACAAATGGAAAAAGCTAGTATACATGGATTTCGAACTTGTCTCAAGTATGGCAGTTAAACGGACATCTTAGTTAAATTTTAGGTATTTGATCCGACATGAATATCTGAATTAGTGTAGAGAGAAAACAAGTTAAATTCATTTTTGCGATCTAACAATTCTAATATACGTGATAAGATACATGTAGAAATAGGGAATTCAATATTTCGAACACTGATAAATTTGATTTATTGAAAACTTACCACCTCTTCTATTGTATTGGAAGAACTCGAATTATCGTCAAGTAGCCACGCACGAATCTTGCTTATGCTATGAATGAAGAAAAACTTTTGTGTGATAGTTTTTTTTGATGTTATTCATCCATTTTGTATTCCAATTTCATTTGAGTCTCCGTAAGCCGTACGATTCGACGCTCTACTGTTCATGAATAAAAATGATTATAATAACCATGACAACAGTATAACAATTTTCTTTAATAAACATCACGAACGGCTATGAAAGTCATTCATTGACAGATATTAGTGTGTAACATAGGATGAACAAGTCATCGTGATCTAAACTCATCCACGTGTTAGATATGATCTCATTGATGAAGTATCACAAATCAATTGCTATTTTGTTTTACTGCGTCAAACAATGTTACTAATACAAGTCTACAGTTCTAGAACTATAAGTATCTTTATTATTTTAAAGAAAAAGCAATAGAAGCTGACATCGAAGAGCTTTGCAGTTGAAGAAAACGTTATTTTTATTTTTTTAATTTAGTCAAAGATTTCCATCTTTGTTCGTTTCTTTAGCTCTAACAATGAACGAAGTAGCAGCCACCAACTTTAAATTATTGTTCTTTTCAAAGTTTCGTAATTGAAATTGTTTACGTTTGTTCGAGTCACTTACACCAATGGTTCCGCTGCCGGAAGCTACTTCACCATTGGCTGATTTGTACAATAAGATAATGTATTGATGCGGCCCAGTGCCATCCGGTGGTGCTGGACCTTGATAATCAGCTGTCATATAAAACAAAAACAAATCAGTTGATAATAAAATGATTTCGACTCATGTACACTTTAAGATTTAATATCATCTAACTAATTTATATATGATAGTGAATATTTTTCTCTCTATTTTATGGATGAACATCTTATTGAAAATAAAGAATGTGCACTTTAATACTATTTGAATATCTCTCTATCTTTATTACGAACTAGCTGCAGAAAAAATGCATATGATATGTAAAAGGCGCTTCATCTCTCTATCCGTACATATTGACAGGTCAATAACAAAGAAAAACTATCTTTCTTCCCTCAAAAGTAGAATATTAAATGAAGAAAAATGAACTCACATTAAAAAGAAGTATGTGTGTGCCTATTCTTATGAATGAGCCATATTCACAATTCGCTTGTTGGTCACGAACACGCGTAAAAAGTGGCCACAGATTGACTTAATTGTTGCTAAAAATGGTCTCTTTTCTTTCATCTATCTTTCTCAATTGTCTTGCTAGTATATACTAGCAAGACGATTGAGAAAGAAAAGAAACCATTCTTAGCAACAATTAAGTCAATATGTGGCCACTTTGTTTCTCTTAACTAAGAGGCTTACGTCTTCTATGATTATTAGTAACAGCACAACAGGAGAGTTGAGGAAAGAGCTCAGTCTTCTCTGACCAAAAATCCTGGCATCATCGCTAATCGTTATGAAATTGCCAGAAATAGCATCACAAGTGTGGCATAAGATACTTTTGTGATGATGCTTGTCAAACTTATCCATGGTAATCATTTCGATTTCAGAAATGAAATGTTTATCAACTGGTTTATTGCTCATAGAGAGTTCCTCAATAGATCGAGGCATAATGATTTTCATAGGACATAGTTTTCGAATTCAACACCTGTCTAAATGTGTCTGTTATATATTTTGATCAAATACGTCCGAAAGTAGATAACTATTTAATTATGCTACAATATTTTTCATGGAGGAATATTTGTATCTGTATGTTGATGTAAAGAATTCTTTGATGTACAATGAATGTTCTTTGGTTGAGATAATTTTTTAACCACTTTTCTGCATAAATATGACGAAATTGGATAGAAAAACGAATGAAAACAGTAGAAAAAGATGCATAAAAATCGACTAAAAGTCGCTATTTTTGTTCAAAAAATGTTCAAACTGGATAGATCTGTATGTTTGGGTAGTCACACATTAAAGGGGAAGAGCAAAAAAAATGTCTACCGAGAGTTGTGCCACTATTGACATTGTTTCCTTTGAATGAAGCTTTAATCCAATGTAGCCATGGACCAGCTATTTCATTACCTCGTCGAGGTGCATCAGGATCAATCATAACCTAAGATAATAGAAATATGGTATGATAGAAAATAAGAAAAATAAAATAAATTACTAATGTAAAAAAAGGCATTTTTGAATCAGTTTTCAAGTTGATTTGAACAGTAGGAGTTATTTGAGTATCAGCTTTTTTCAGCAAATCTCCATCACGAGCCTGATTACCTTGATATTGAATGATAATTTTATTGGCTTTATTTTTTCCAACTTGGTACTGTTTTCGTAGATATTTCACATCCGAACTGATATCGGCTATTGCAATTGAAATGATGATGATGAATAAAATTAATATAAATGTGTAACAACAAGAATTAAACACCATAATGCGTGTTTTTGCGATGAAAAATAAGAGAAGCATTCAGAATCATTATTATTGAAGTACGTCTACAATTTGATCATACAACGAACGAATGGAAAGAGTCGAGAGGAAAAAAGAGCAATAGAAACGTTAGATGGAGCAGCACTGTGATTTAATTCTGCTTCAGTTGACAACGAAATACAATCAAAATGTTCTCATCCACTTTTTTAATCTCATGGATCACCATCAATCTAACACTAGGACTTGATATTTAATAAACACATTGATACAGTTACAGACATATTGATGAGAACTATTTTAAAAAGTGATGAGTAACTCATAGCGCGCTGTTTCTTTATAATGAGTCTTCGATTCTGTATTTACTTACAAGAGATCGTCTTCTCTTCTTATTTTCTTCAATAATTCAACAATCAAGAGCATTTCTGTTGTTTGACAATTTCAACTGATCCATTTAGCAGAAATCTGATAATGAAAATAATGAATACGAAATGTGAAACAAATATTTTGACATTAGAGCAATTTTTTTTTATTGGAATTCTATTCATTTTATTCTCTTCATTTTTCATCTAGTCATATAAATGGCTGTCTCAATTGATCAAAAAAGTCTATGTATTGAATTGTTTTTACCTTAGAAGACGACGATTTGTTCTGATTGATAGTTGTTGTTACCTAAAAGTACTTCGACTACTTACAGTTGCATCTATAATGGATTAACCCACCGATATTCAATTTCTTTTTTTTTTGCAAACGATTTTTTTCTCAATCTCTATATATTCTTGTGAACTCATATATTGATTATACATAGATGTAAACTTAGTAAGAAACACTGTTAACATAGCTATTGCATTTTGAAAATGTCATGTTTCAGTTAGGTCTCAATAAAAACTACATCTCTTGGAAGTTATGCTAATAGATTACACAACCATTTATGAATAAAATATGGGCTTAAAAGAATACAATAGTCAGGGTAATAACCTAATGTTATATCTAATTATCCAACGTATGCACTTAATCTACTTCGAACTAAAATAATTAATACCGTTTTCTGATGATTTGTTTTAAAACTTTTAATAGACTTCATTTCGATCATTATCTTTCAAAAGAAAAATGATTGTAAAACTGAATAATCAAACAGTATTAGTGAAAAGAGATTCATCAAATGATAATTTATTTACATGCATATCTAGTGTGATGACTTAAAAAATACATTTAAAAATATAGTTTTCAGTTCTTTAGAAGTAAAAGCATAAACAAGAACATCCAATGCCGAATTTGTATATCCTAGCCATGTAAGTATATTGAATAATAATTCATGATTTTGATCATCTTTCAAACGCAAACCAAAAACACCATTTAATAAAAGATAAACAAAGAGTGGTAACCAACAACCAATAAATGCACCCATAACAATACCAATAAATTTAGTAGCCTTTTGATCTTGTGAAATTTGTCTCCAGAAATTTTTTCCTTGTATATTTTGTTTTAGAATTTTATTTACAAATGTATTGTCATGTTCATGTTTCTGATTGATTGATTCTAGGGTTGGATGTTGATATGAACCACAATGAATACGAAGTGTTATTAATTCAATTGACACTCTACGATTCTGTAATAACACATTTGATTTATTATGTACACTTTTATTAGAGATTTTCGCTTGTTTTTTTATTCTTGATCCTTTCTCAATTAGAGTTTGTCTTAAACGAAATTTTGGAATGTATGATTTTTCTGTTTTAATCATACGTTGACGTTTGTAACCTGAACGAAGTGCTGAAGCTTGTTTTTTAGCTGCCAAATACACTTTAATATAGATATAAATCATAATGATTAATGGTAAATAAAATGATACGATAGTGGTGAATAATATATAATACGGATTATTCGGAAATTCACATTCTTTCGATGTTTCATGGTTTGATACAATTGATTGTCCTAAATCAGACATGATAGTGAATAACAGTAATATACTCTCGATAAAAACCTATAACCCCCCCCCCCCCTCATATAAAAAACCCAGGGTCTTGTATTATGTTTAAGCGGAAATTTTTTTTAGGGAGGTCTTGTATTATGACTCTCGTATTTTCGCGATTTTTTCGACACTCACAATTATTTTCGAAGAATTTAGTAAATGCAAGTTTAAGTTCAAGTCTTACGGCTCCTCAATTTTATTATAGTAATCAGATGCTTGGAAAAACATCACCCACACCCTTCCCACAGCAACAAACAAAAAGGAAGTAATTAATATCAACGGCTATCTTATTTTATAATCTGTAATTCCTAATTTCTCTTCTAAATATTATGCTTTTAAGTTTTGTAAAACTCACATATATTTTCGAAGGAACTAACAGTGATCGTAGTCTTCCCCATTACATGTCGTAGCAATCATTTAGATCTAATACCCGTAGAATAAAAAAATGAAAACAAATGGTGGCTCTCAGGTAAAAAAAATTTAAAAAATGGCGTTTTCCATGATGAAAATGATATAATCATGCATGTTTCTTATTTTAATTGATTAAAATCAAAACTTTTACCATTCTCGTTTCAGGATTTTGATTTCTAATCATTTTCATTATAATGATCTTGATTAGAAATCAAAATCATGAAATGTAATTCGTGAAACTTTCATTTTAAACGATGAAAATACAAAACATGCATGATTATATCCCTTTCATTATGAAGTATGGTTTTTTTTTCGTTTTTCTATTCCCTGGAAAGGTTGCGAAAACTTCTACAATCATTGCTTTTCAATAGTTCGAATATTTTTATGAGAATTCGCAAAAAAGCTAGCCTCCTTTTTTGCGCAGATAAAAGTTTATACGATCCATTTGAAAGATAATCTTTTGTGATTTTTCATAACGGTAGTATAAGTTATATAAAATCGTGATCAAACTACTTTCTAACTTTTAGAAATATTTATTTTGTGTCTTATTCAGTACATTAGTATGCATACAAGATTGTTAGAATATGGCGAAGATAGAACCAATGTCTATACTAAGATTATTTAATCATTAAATTAGAGCTTGAATGGAATAATACGAAATAAAGATAATCTCGAGAGTGGGTGTGGGTAGGGTGTGGGTGTGGGCGCGTGGGTGCGGATGTCGGTGAGTGTGGGTGTTGATCTTTCCTTAACCCACACCCACACCCTCTTCTATTATTGGGGGGGGGGGGGGGGGGGGGGGGGGTAGTACTAAATTCTTAATTTATGTCTTGTAGAAATGGCTGACAAAAGAAAAATGATCCAACCGAATAAGTATACAAGTCTGAAGTCTGATTCTTGACTGATTTCAATCCACGATTGATTTCTGCGATTTAAACTAAGCATATTAGGATATTAGATACAAAAAAAAAATAACACATGAGCTATTTCATTATTAAAAATAGTAATGACGTAAAAATGTGAAAATTTTCGATACCTAAACACGTTCATAATGAAATATCTGTCGTGTTCGAACGCATTTCTGAAGTATTTTCGAAATAAAAGCATCGTGTTCTCGTAGAATTGACCATGGAAAATTCAACACAATTCTAAAACACATTATTTGGGATGTTCACTCTACTGAACATACGCTTCTAGCACTTTTCATCATGAAAAAAAAATGAGAGAACACATTTTCAAGGAGAGGGTGAAAATCAGACCGTTCTCATCGAATTTCAAAATGATATTAAGTTATATAAAGAACCTAGTTTATATCAACAAATCACATTTCTATCATGCGATATTGTTTTACTCGTAAATTCATGCTCGGCAATAAAACTTGTATTGGACTCATTGTGAACATTATGAAAATTCTTCGTAGAGAATTGCATCTACGTGTTTATCCGTTTAATATCAAAGATCAACTGTGACTCGTTTTAGGCAACAAAATATCTTCTATGAAATTTTCGATAAAGACAAAAGTCCCATTTTGATCAAGATCAAAACAATAATTCAGAAGATCATACATGAATACAATGAGCATCTAAAGTGTTGCGATTTTTGTCAAGTGCTTCATCTATGCGAGTTCTTATGACCACGATTATGTAGTCGAGGCAATTATTTTCTCGAATAAATAACAAAATCAAAAATTAACTTTTAGTACATGAAGAAGAAATAACTTTTTTGTTTTGAAGAGAACATAAGATTTTCATACAGGAATTTTTCCCTATTCAATAGAATCTATTGAAGGATCAATAATACTCTATTAAATATTCAATTATAAAAGCATTCTCAATTGAAATACTTCTATATGCGAGTAGTGTTTGAGACGGATCCAAGAGCGTATTCAAGACGCGGGCGAACGAACGTACTTCTTCAATGTTTTTGTTCTTACTCGCGTTTGATGTCTACATGGCTAGTCGTTCAGTTCATAGTCTATTATGTGGCAAGTATTACTGGTCTTATTTTCATATCTTTTAGTGCAGAGTTAAGCAAGAAAATTTTATTTCAACGATAAAAATGCACCAGTATTCAATCAGAACTTCAGAATAAATACTTATTTGTACAGATCGTCGAGAATTTTTTGTTTAAATTTGTAACATTTCTAACTCGAAGATTAATGAGTTGAATGTGCAACAATCTCGATACGAAAGTAAAAAGAAAATGAACATTTTCTTTTACGTACGAGAAGATACTTGTTTTGTTCCAAGATGAATTACTGCTGGAAATGATATCACTGCTGAACATATCCATATGAATGATACCATATAATACCATCTCTTTGATATAAATGAATTGGGATATTTCATTGGTTTTGTAATGGCTACATATCGATCTAATCCAACAGTACACAGTCCTAATATAGATGCTGTTGATGCAAATATATCTATTGAATGCCAAAAATCACATAGAAATCTCAAATGTTTTGAAAACAACCAATATTCATCATTTGTCAATGTAAATATAAATGCAAAAGGCATCACTATTAAACCAACTAAGAGATCAGCAAGTGCCAATGATGCAATATAGTAATATTTAGATGTATGTAATGTAAATTCACGAATAATAAGATATATTATTAATAAATTTCCTACTATAGTAAATAAACATAGTAATAATAGAAACACAAAAATTGGATATGTATGCCATTGTATGTTAGTTATTGTTGTGTTGGTGGTTAATGAAAATAATCCCATAGTTTCATAAATTATTTTAAATTTTTATATTAGTTGACCACAAATGTATTTCTGACCGTTTTAACGATCTAATAATTGCGAAGTATCTAAATTATTCAACAAAAACAAAAGTCGAAATATCGTGAACAATGCATCTGTCATTCATATCAAGCCTTTAAAAAAAACTGCTTGAAGAGCTTTTGAACTTGATTTTTTCATGAGTTGATATCTTTCAAAGTCTTGTTTTTTTTTATTTTATTAATAATCAAATGGAATAACTAAATCTCTCTTCTCAATGTAAGAGATCATATTCATTTACAATATCTCGGCACATCGCTAGGTTTTCGATGATCTGACAACTAGTAAAATCCTTTCAATAAGCAGTACATTATATTTATACCTCTCAACTAATGCTTTTTGAACATCGTTGTGATCATTAGATAGTATTAACAAACCGTATGGAATGCACCTGATGAATAAATAATGCTCATGTTATCATTAAAAAAAATGATAAACATTGTTTGTTTACATGCCATCATCTTCTTACGACAAGTAAAATGTTTTCTCCTTTTACAGATTAGGTTCTCTCTTTTATCTCTACCTAATACTGCGATATCTAATCTATCTTTCAACGTCCGTCATTATATCACATCATCATAGTGTCTGTTTCATAAAATCTGCCAAATTTTCGATACTGAATCGACGAGTATAACTAAACAATAACCGAGCCATTAGTTTGACACATATTGATGAATACAAAAAAATTATTCAAAAGTATTAATATATCGAACATTGCTATGATGTATTCTAACATTTGCTATAGACAAATAAATATAATGTACTGCTAATTGAAGGGATATTAATAGTTCTCAGAACTTTTTGATCATTCTATTAATTAAAGTTCAAATAATTATTTCATAGTTTAAATCAATACATATTTTTCGACTCTTTGCTTAAAAAAAATACTCTCTTCGATTTATGAGAATATAGAAAGATATTCTGTGAAAAAATCTTACGAAGCAGATATATTTTCCAAATACCATATTATTGAAGAAACTGATTGTATAAGTGCATGTCCTATGAATATGGAGTTTAAGCATTATGTAGATACGGTTTTATACAAGGAATGACTCTGTCAAAAAGATTAATCAACTATTCTGATGAAAGATTCTATAGAGAATGAAAAAGAATCCTATTATATATAGGGATGACCCTTTACCTTTAAAAAATAAATGATACTCTTTTTTTTTTTTGTCAATCATTTATCTTTAGAAAATAAAGATAAAGGAATCATTTATTTTTATTAAATAAAGGAATAAAGGGTTATTGTTTTTTGAATGAAATAGGACTAAAAGTGTTCTAGAATTATGAAACTCGCTTTGAAGAATATTTTTATAATTGAACAGATCTGTTTTGATGGAAATAAAGTCTCGAACACGCAAAATAAATTGCAGATTTTTCATTAATATTTAGTGAATTTTAGCTAGAAAAATAGAAATTGAATTAAAACTAATATCATATCTTTAATCAGCATAAAAAAAATAAGCAAACCTATGAATGGTTCGAATACTTTTTAAATATTTCGAGTTTTATCGAAAAATTTGCCGTGGTATCCCTCAGGACTCTGGTATCAGAAAA